AGGGAGCCCGACGTGGGACTCGATCCCGGGACTCCAGGATCATGACCTGAGCCGAAGGCAGTCGCTTAACCAACTGAGCCACCCAGGCGCCCTAAATTGTTATTTCTATCCTTGTTCATGTGCACATAAAATCATCATGTGGAGAAAGGGAAACCTAATGCCCTGGTGTATGCAGTGCCTGATAGCCGAAGCTGTATGGGTTCATATTCAAGTCGGTATTTTTATCTTACTAAGGTCTAGTTATCTGGTCCTGCCATCCTCCCCCTGCCCCCTGCCCCTTCACTGCCTGTAAGAATATTGGTTTTTACATTCACAAGGGCACATGGCTGCTACCTGGATCTGAGCTACAATTACTCAAATTTCCAGTTGGGCTTTCGTGAGCAGTGTTTCAGCCCCAGAAGAATTTGTTTTGTGAATAGCCAAATGTAGCTCTGATTTTGAGTTGGAAGCCTTGCTTATCCACTTATCATATCACTTAGAGCACAGCCCAGTTCCAGAGGGACCCACCATGGTGCCAGCAGACAGCCACAGAGACCGTCAGAAGGCCCTTCCCCCTGCATAAGGACCGTCCTTCAGACCTGAAAACAGAAGAACTGTAGCCTTAGCAGGCAATGACTTGTCTGCACTCCACCCTCGGCATTGCTCTCACCTGCTGGCGTTGGGAGTGAGCCAGTCTACTTCATTGCCAGGTCTCCTGGACAGGCTTCCCTGAACACTACCCAGCTGCACATCTCCCTCCATTCTCTGTAGCTGCCTCTGCCTTCCTGAGCAAGCAATCCTGCAAAGAACCTAGGGAGAAGCTGTGGGTCTCACCAAGTGCCCCAGTCCCAAGGACAGCCACTGTGGACTTAGCAGACAAGTCAGTGACAAGAACGCTGTGCAAAGGGACAGACCATGAAGGAAGCATGGGCCTGGAAGGCACTCAGATCTGAGTTCCAATCCTGATGCTTCTACTGAGAGTCTGTTAATCACATTTAATAAAGAACCAGAACTGTCAGCCACTATTTACTAACGCCTCAGCTGTGCACGGTGCACCGGGGAACACGAGAATGAACAGGTTAGACCAGTCCCTGCCTTCCTGGAGCTAATGATCTGCATCCAGATAAATAGAATGCAAGGGGGAAGTGTGAGGATGTGGCCTCTCTGAGCCTCAGGTTCTTTATCCAGAGTAGGGGGACAATATAACTTCTTTAGAGGATTGGCACGTGGAAATATTAACCAGTCTCATGGAGAGTAATATGGCCAGAATCTAACAGATCCCTGCCTGGACAGAGCTAACTCCCTTCTTGCCAAGCTCCCAACTTCACCCACTCTTATTTTCCTCGTCCAGGGTACCTTCTGTACATTCCTCCCTGGTCTGTCTCCCTTCCCCCCTAACTTCTAACTATCAAAAAGACCCATGAATTATTACTAAGTCTTAACAAGGCTGTGAGAATAGAAAGAACTAGGGGGAGGTGGCCCCTAGATCCAGCCCTCCCTGAAACCCTGTCCCAGAAAGGACGGGTCAGCAGCCACTGTCTTGGCTCTTGGCTCCACAGAATGAGCACATTGGCCAGCTTGATAGAATTTTTCTTCCCTTCCCCCATTCCCTTCCAAAGGCTGCATCTTTCAGTGTGCTCTGCCTTTCTTCATTATGTGGAACAGGGAGCTTATTACATGTCAACGGTATGAAAAGGATTAAGCAGGACAACGACCCCTCCTCCCTGCGTGACCGTCACCCAGACACCAGGCATTTGTCTTCCACTCTCCCAGGAGTGACACTTCTTCACTGCTCACCGTAGTCAGTGTTTTCAGGCTCCCAGCAGTTCGAAGGCCAAAAGTACGGGGCCTGCAAAAGAACACAGGTGTCAGGACTCAGAGGAATGTGGGCACCTGCCCTCCTCGGCCCGGAGCGAGTGTCCACCCTCTCCAGCACCCAGTGAGGACCCCTCTCGGTGACAGGCTCTGCCCCGTCTCTTTTGTGCCGACACCACATCCCCAACTTTCTCCTGTTCTTAAGGCAGCTGAGGCTGTCGACATTTTAACCTAGGTATTGAGAAATGAAATCCAAGGTGAGCAAAATAAATGCAAAAATGAGAAACTTAGTTTATAGGGCAAACATTTCTTATCCCAAGACCGGCACAGCTTACTGGGCACACAAGCTCCAAGTTCCTTTTATCCCTTTGAATTGTATGCCCCTAAAACTGACATGCAGAAGCCTAGCCTGCAGTGTGGCTGTATTTGGAGTAAGGAAGTAATTAAGGTTAAAAGAGGTCACAAGGGTGGGGCCCTGATCCCATAGGATTAGTGTCCTTATAAGAGGAGCCGCCAGAGAGCTTGCTTTCTCTCTGTCTCTGCCATGTGAGGAGGACACAGCGAGAAGTGGCTGTCGGCAAGCCCAGGTGAGAGCTCTCACCACAAATCTAACCTGCTGGAACCTTGATCTTGGACTTGAACCCGTGGAACAGTGAGAAATAAATTCCTGTTGTTTAAGCCACTCAGTCTGCAGTATTTTGCTATAGCAGCCAGAGTGGACTGAGACACCCTTTGATGCTGTCTGAAAAACTCCACTCCAAACACCTTGGTGTTGACCTTGACACAGACTCTTATCCTCTGCCCCATTTCCCTCTATGACAGGATCTGTGAAAAGGAGAGGAAAATGGTGGGAGGGCTTAGGCAGAGGATAGAAACTTCACACCAGGAAGGCAGCATGACAGAGTAGAAAGATCAAGGACTTTGCCATCGGGCTGACCCACACTCAAATCAAGGCCACCTCCCAGATTTATTAATCCTCAGAGCACCTCCGTGTTCTCATCTGTCAAATGGGTGATATTTACCTCCGAAAAGTTTGTTCTTCAGAATGAATGAGGGAATATGTGGAAACCCCCCACCCCAACAACACGGAGGCCCAAATAAAATCTCGTTTGGCTTCCCAGTGCTGGGGGGAGGTAAGGGTTCCTCCCTTAAATACCCTCAGTTTTGTAGGTAGTTCTAATCTGAGATCAGATGATAAGAGAAGGTTCTTCAGGGAGAGACGCTGGCAGGCCTACCTGGAAACGGTAAAAGGTGCCATCATCCTTCATGGTAAGAACGTGGTCCGAGATCGGAAAGATGTAGCCCTGGGCGGCTATAAGGCTTCCCAAGTGTATTGCTTCAACTGCACGAACAGGGCAGAAGAGAGAGAGGAGTATTTAGCAAGTTGTCAGAGTGCAGGTTTCCTTAGCTGGAATGTAAGTCAGGAGGGCAGAAAGGCAACCAGAAATCAACTGTTCTCACCCTCAGATAACTGCATGATCGATTGACTGATTGACTGATAACCTTTGATATCAATCCACTGGGCTGGATGGGGTGGGTGTCAGTGGTTGGGAAGGGCCAACATGTGTCTGGGACTCATCTGGATCCCAGCTCTGAGAGTCTGGCTTTGGTTAACTTCCCCCCAAGACTTCCAGAGGAAAGTAGCTTCAAGGTTAAGAGCAGGGGCTCTGGCACATATAGACCTGTACTGAATCAAGTGGGATGTTTCATGTAAGTGCTTAGCAGTGCCTGGTGTTCAGTAGGGGCGGGCAGCCCTGATTCATCTTGCTAGTTTCATCATTTTTATTCCCCAGCAATGAGCACGTAGCCTCACTGCCCAGAGAGACTCTCGACTCCCATGGCATTCCCCAATATGACAGTCCCACCAGAGAAGAGGAGAGCATTTCCCTTCTCTTACGGACACAGAGTAAAACCTCACTTTCTTAGAAAATTGGAGGAAGGACACTGCAGTGGGGAGTGGCAAAGGGAAGCCGACCTGATAGAAATATGTACATCTTTGCCACAATTAACCCACTGTTTTGTGACTTAGTAGCAGCCATAAATAGATCCACGTAATCAATAATTTATATTTATTCTGAGCAGAGCTAAGGAAAAAAATAACAGATCTATATGGTCCTACCATGCATGATAATCTTTCACAAATATAAAAGTGCTCTTCTTGGTAAAAACTGATTTTTGGATATAGAAATTATTGATATGCTTAAGGAGTCTCCAGGAATTATTAATTTCATAAGCTCTGAATTTTTTAAAGCAACTTGTTTTGTCTTTACTTGCAGACTTCTCAAGAGGTTGTATATAATTCAAGTGTTTTGCTTATTTAGAATCACCTATCCTTCGGAAATAACTGGTGGAATCAGAATGAAGCTGTATCTTATTTGCTTAGTGATGACCAGTGTGCGTTTTAAAGTCTACATGCTTCAAGAATCATGGGTCCAGCAAAAAAAAAAAAAGAGTTTCATCACTGGCAGCTGCTCCTTCCCCAGGGAAGAGAGCACAGCTTCCAGTAAGAAGGTGACTTTCATGTCACCAATGTAGGAGCTGGAACTCTCACTTCATCTTTTGTGGTTTTGCTCAGATATATGGCAGATGGGGAAGGAGGGATAGATGTTGGATGAGCCTGACTTCCAGGACTTTGATTTGCCTCATTTCCACCCTTCTATTCCCAGCTGGTGAACTGTTCTTAACTCCTCCTCATCCATTTCTCAGAAGCCCAAACAGTTCCCAATAACGTGATGTCCTCCCAAGGCCATCTGTGTATAAGAGAGCTTCATAGATACGATCCTTATTAGGTATTATTCACGACCTTTCAGGGAAGCCTCTCATATGAGGGCCGGAGGCCTCCTGAAGCCTATTCCCCTACCACCAGCTGGCTCAGGGCTCTCACAATACTGCTACTGGTGCTAACGATCATAATAAAGCATGTGTCAGAAATACAAGGATTATTGTAGAAGGGCAAAGGACAGAGAGCTACCGGAAGAGAAAAGACCACCATGGAGAAAGGTACTCCCTAGGCTTAGCATTATAACCAAAGAAACACTGATTTTAAATACATGGGACTAAACTGGTAGAAATGTATTTGGTCCAGGCTTTACAAGTGGACAATGGCAAGTCCAGGCTGCATGAGGAGAACACGTGGTGTAGTTAATTTGGGTTCTTTCCTTAAGAGGATTTGAATTCACAGTTTCTCCCTGTGGATTAAGAGCTTAACTAGATTTAAGAATTTTCACTAGTCGTGGAAGTGGCCATTAATCATGATGGTGAACAAGGCTAGTGTCACTTCCATCAATGACCTGCTTTTGTGGCACTCAGATTTCTGGCAACTATATTTCCTTGAACGCCATGTAAATTATATTGGTTCTTAGTCAATAGTATATTAGGAGCATCAGATTAAAATAGAGCAATTTCTGAGCTGACATAGTGACCTCCAGCAAGGAATCACAGACACCTAGAAAGGGCATTAAAAAAAAATCTTTAGAGGGGCACCTGGATGGCTCAGATGGTTAAGCATCTGCCTTCGGCTCAGGTCATGATCCCAGCGTCCTGGGATCGAGTCCCGTATCGGGCTCCCTGCTCCTTGGGAGCCTGCTTCTCCCTCTGCCTCTCTCTCTCTCTCTGTCTCTCATGAATAAATAAATAAAATCTTAAAAAAAAAAAAAATCTTTAGAAAGCAAAGCCATTGGTAGCCATTTAATTTGGGTCAGATAGATCTAATCCCCAAGAACATAAGAATACATTAATGGATATTTATAAATATGACCTTCAGGCATTGAGGATACTCAGTTAAAACAGGAAGTATATAATAAACTCCAAAAAGTATTAACTAACACATGGATAGTAAGCTTTACTTATCTGCAATTTTTATTTTTCTGAAACTCCTCATTTTCTAATTATGCTGTGAAAATAAATTTTACTACTTATTTTCTGGTGGGAGGACAGATTTGGAAACTGTTTTATTGGCCAGAGTTTTGTTGTTGTTTTTCTGGTAAGGTTTTCCTAATTGAAATGCACAATTAAGGTCGGAAAAAAAAATCATTCTTTCACTTCTTGCAGAAGCAGAAAACAGAAGGAGTCTTAGCAAATAATTAGACATCTTAATTGTGGATCAGGCAATCTAATTTTAAGAGCTGGCTCTAGAAGGCTGTTCCGTGATAGTTCTACAACTTATCTTTAATTGCTGTGGCTAACGAGAATTCATCTCATTTCACACGTTATTGTATTGGGCTCTTTGGCACTCTAAATAATTGCTCATTTCCTCAAAGGGTGATTCAGATTTAAAGATAGATATTCAGTCAAGAAAATAAATTAATTTTATTTGCAAATGGACTGATTCCACATCTTGGGATTCACATTTATAAGTCCAATTCTCAGGAGAATAGGAGAATCTGGTCTGGAACTTGTTTATGGGATGTTTCTCAATACCATGGAGGATAAAGTCAGAGTCAAGTACCTGGGTCCTCGATGCAAAGGTTCTTCATAAGCCACTGCACAATGTCAGTACCTGAAATGATAAAGCAAAGTGAACTGAAGACGTCATGGATGAGTACCCTCTGGCAGAAGAAACATGTTTATCTAAGAAAGTCCTAATTCCAACTAGCACACGCCCAGAGAGCTGGGTAATATTGACAATTTTCCATCCTAACTAAGCACATCTAGCCATTGGGACACTTCCATAGTCACAGTCCTATTTGTTTCCAAATAAATCCACTTCCAATGACTCAGGATGATCTTGTGTCCACACTTCTAGGGAATATCTACAGGAGACTTCTTGTAAATACAGATTTTGATGACTTCCCAGAGAAAGGCTAGGTGAAGTTTTACCACACCTGGCCCCCAGGATATTTCCTGAGGTTGGAGGCCTCTTCAGCTCCCTACCCTAACTGACAAGGCCTGACCAACACAGGTGACCTTACAGGTCCCTAAAAAAAAAAAAAACAACAAAAAACCCGACAAAAAACAAAACAACAAAAAACCTTTAATTTTTTCTGGCATGGGCATAGTTTAAATTAAAATGCGCCTGTTTCTGGGGAGAAACTTCTATGTGTTCACCAAAACTTCTTTCCTCTATTCCTTGGGTCACTAGATTATATCTCTAGACTCTTCTGCAATTGGGTATAGATTGAGTTCTTACAATGGAATATGGCTAGAAATGATATATCCTGCTTCTAGGCCTGGACCATAAAACTCCCATGTGACTCTGCAAACCCTTCATTCCTTATCTGCTGGCTGAACGGATAGAACCCCAAGAACCCAGGGGAGGACAGAGCCACAATGTGGAAGGAGCTTGGGATCCTGAACAACCATAAAAATTGATGCCCATTTTGGGCTCTGACTTGATTAAAAAATAAACTTTGTTGTGTTAAGCCCCAGAAGTTGGGATTTATTTGTTTTGATATTGAGTACTACCTTAATTAATATAAAATTGTAAGAGTCGGAAGGGACTCTTAAGTCTTATCTACTCCAACCCCAGCCAATACTGGAACCGCATCTATAATACCCCAGACAGGAGGTGCCATGATCTCCACTGGGAAAAGCCCTAGTACCTGGGAATCACAGATTCCCCCCTAGACAGCCTGTCCTAGTCAAATCACTTTGATTTCTCTGAACAGAAATTTGACCCTTTCTAAATTCCTCTCTTTGGACTTAATTTTGCCCTCTGATGATAGAGAAACAAATCCAGACCTTCTTGCTCTGGAGAGAGTCCATCCGATATACTATCAACATTCTTCTTAAGTTTTCTCCCCTCAAGCTGAAACATACCTGGGTCCCTCAGCTATTTCCTGCCATGACATGACCTAGAGCCCTTTCCCATTTTGGTCACAATTCTCTGAATATGTTTCCTTTTGTTTGCCTCCCTTTGAAGATGTTGCACCTAGAACCAATGTGGGAGTAGAAGAGTCCAAATTTCTGGAAGGTTCTGAACTTCCAGTCTTCTCAGCCATCTCATTTGAAACCAATGCAGATCTTCAAAGGTGGCTTTGTCACCTCGGGATGGAATGTTTGATGGAAAGCAGCCTGAAAAGGGCAACGTTTCTAGATGTCTGGATCCTGTCATGCGTGGGTCTGAGGCTTGGTGTGAGAGAGAGGGTCTGCCCGTAGCTCTTCTGGAACAGATTCCCAGCTGAAAACCTGAGGAGTTAGCAGAAGTCTTTAGCGAGCATTGCCCTTTCCCCAGAAATAAAGTTTCCCAGACATGTTCCAGAGGTGAGAGCAGCTCAGGCCTGTTTCTCTCTGGCTCCCTGGAGGGGGAATGAACCTTCCGCAGTAGACAACCAGGGCCCCATCCTACTATTTCTGTGCTTCCCCCAGGGCTAGCCTCCACTGACACAGCCCAGCAAGTTCCCCCCATTTCAACCTCCAAAGCAGAACTTCTAAGCTTTTCCCCACTCTTGCTCCCGGATGGCATCTTTGAGCTAAACTTCGGATCAAAAACTTTCCTATTCATTCACATTCTTTGAGCAAAAGGAGAGAATGTCTGTGTGTGGTTGTGTGTGTGTGTCCATATCCTCCAAATTATACAAGTTCAACATTTGTCCTAGGAAATGAAGAACAAAGCAGAAATCAAATAAGAACTGTAATCCCAAGTTGGGGGTGGGGGAGAGCCTCTAACCTGTTTTTTCCTCAAAAGAAAAATAGTTCTTTTTTGTGGGTTGCCTGGAAACAGATAGGTTTCCAGCATCAGCAACAGCTCTCCCCCGGGCAGGCGGATTATCTTTCTGCTGAGCTTGCTGAACCATTATTTATCACCTGCCAAGATTGATTACTCACCCTGGGACAATGACAGCCCTTCCTTTCCCCTGTTAATTACTGTCATCATTAATATCCATGTCACTAATTAGTATTCATTCACATTGAAACTCCTTTCTTGCTATCATATCCGTTCCCCCCACTACCCCACCCGAGACTTCAGCACCATTGTCTAGATTTCTACCCCCTTTTGGTTTTCTGCACTCCGTGTCTGGCCTAATTGCTCTCCCCAGTCCACCAGGCCCTGGTTTGCATTCACAGAGCTGAAGGATCACATTTAAACATTTAAGCCCCCCTCCCTCCCCCCCCTTTTTTTTTTGGTCAAGAAGAGAAAGTCACAAAAACCTCTTTCCTTTTTACCTAGCAATGTGGGGACCACAGACCTGGATCTCTTGTCCCTGGTGCAGCCACCGAAACAGTCAGGGTCTTTATCTGGGGACTGGTGTGAGTGTCCTCGAGCCCCGGTGCGGGCCAAGCTGGACCCCCTGGCTGTCCTGGGTCCCTGCCCCCAGTCTGCAGCAGTAGCCACCTCCCCGCTGTCCCTCACCCACCGTGGGCCTGTAGGGTGGACTTCAGCGAGCACAACAATGCCTTGTTCTCTCGGGTGTGGGGTGTTTTAGCTTCCTCGGACTAACCCAGGAGGGGCCAGCCTCCAGCCTTGTGGCAGGACGTAAATGTTGCATGTTCAGCCCCGGGGAAAAGTAAGGGAGGGAAATCTGTCATAATATTATGTCCTTTAAAAGACCTACAATTATTCCACAGCAGAATGAGGTGAGCATAGTGCAAACAACGGTCAGGAGAAAGCATTTTTCTTCTTTTTTCTCTTTCCTTTCTTCCTTTTTTCCCTCCGGCCCCCAATCATTTTTCCCCCTCTTATTCGAAAAAGAATTTGAAGCAGATTATTTTTCTATTCTCTCTCAAATGAATTGTTGCCCTTTGTTACCACTGTTGGATGCGGTTCTTATCTTAGTCAAGCTGCCCTGCCAAGGACTTAAAACCAAAAAAGAAACATTAGGGACAGATGCAGAATAGCCACCCTTTATCCCCAAAGGTTCTAAAACACTTGGCTGGAAGTTTTCTTTTTGAGGCTAATATATCCACATATATTCCAGGGATATCCATGAACTACATCAGAGGCACCCGAAACTCTTCTCCACAACATGCGTGGTGGGTTAGTACATTTAAGTAGACATTTCTATGCAGATAGGCTTTCAGTTTCTATATGTGTTGTACGTACGTATTTCAGTTATGTCTTTTACATATAAGGATGTGTATTGGAAGGGTGTTTGGACACAACTCAAACGTTCTCAAGTAGGGGATTGAATAATTAATTATGGCTCATCCATACAACACATATTTATTGAACACCTACTGTATTGAATGAAAAAGTAGAACAGGAACAGTGTGTATTGTAAGATGACATTTAAAAAAATTTTTTTAAATGACATTTTTACAATAGAAAATACATATTTAGATTTGTATCCTATTAATTATGTATGTATAGATATATACAGGTACTGAGAAGAAAAATTCTGGAAGGATATTTAAACTGTTTAGGTGATCTTGGAGAGAGGGGAGGGTCAAATCACGGGAAATTTCTATTCTTTACGTGTCCTTATTATTTGGAGCTCAAGAACTTTAATATATTGCTTACGCACTGAGAAAAAGACTTTTCACTGTCAAGAGCAGAGAGGGACGTGCTGGCCTCTGAGACTGCTGTGGACAGGCTGTGGGGAATCAGGTTGCAGACGCAAAGTGGAGAGGGTGGGGGGGACTCTGAGCTGCTGCCCCTGGGCCCTGGGCATGTCCTGCTCCCCTGGGAAAGGGCGAGGAGTAAAGAGTGGGAGGCTCACTCCTAAGCCTCAAGTTGTCACTCTCTGTGGCCACTGGGCCAGCTAAAGGGGCTGCTCACTGCAGTCCTGGACTAAGGGTGACCATCTGCACTCTGCACCCCTCAATATAAACTGGATTTGAGTAAGCTGGCAAGATCTTCCAATATTTTAGGGAGTTCTCTTTCTGGTTTGGGGGAGATCCTTACTATAAAAAGGTTCTATACTGAGCTTTGTGCTCAGGTGTTTTAAGCATCCCCAAAGATTAAGGGATACCTGGAACTTCCTCCCAAATAAGTCAGAACCTAAGGGGATCCTACTCTGAAACACTTGCCCCATTCTCCCCAAAGTATTGTAACAACTGGAGCCCAAATTGATTGTGCAAACTTGAGAAAAGACTGGTTCCAGGCACTTGCAAATTTCAAGTCATGTGAAACTTGGTAGCTTATAAATCATAGTCCTGATAATTGAAGCAATTGATAATTTACTTATCAATCCTCACCATTGGGGAAAGACACCTTCACTTGAGTAAACTCTTTCTGGAGCCCAACAAAAGATAAGATTGTTCCTGCTGTGAGTGACCTCCTGGTACTCCTCAGTCAAGGTTATGATTCAGTCCACCCTGGGGTTCTCACATACCTGCCAAGGTCTCTGCTGCACCCGTGAGTGAAGAGGACAGCTTTGTGCCACCTGATCACGTAGGTGCCACGTGCAGGCCAACACTCACGAAGGAGGGAGACATTGCCCCTTGTGTACGAGGCCAGAGCCAGGCACCTGACACTGTAGTCACATAGCATCTTGACAATAATTGTGCAAAATATGATATCTAGCCTACCCATTTCACAGATGAGGCCCAGAGAGGCCCAAGGCCACATACCTATAAGAGCCAAGTCTGGAATCCAGGAAAAACCCATGCCGGATACCA